ATAAGATTGCAAGTTATCTAAGGCATTTATATGGCAAAGAAAATCTTACTAATGTTCTATAAAATATGTAAGGTCGTCATTATCTGCATATTAATGTATCCATTGCTGGGGTGCAAACCTTGCTTAAAGATTGATTCGATGATGGTGGTTTGGAACAATCTACCGAATTGCTGGTGCTAAGATAAGCTCATTCATGCGGTCTTTGATCATTGTTCATATAGTAGACAGTCTGCCTGTAAAAATCCGACTTCACATATGGATCAGTCTGTAAAACTAGCCAGCTTTTTGCCGCCAATGAGTATCATGACTCAGAATTCCATTAAATCAAGTGCGACGATATTTGATTTTTGCATATCATAAAAACAGTGGCTTTTAACTGATATTTCTTTTAAATATTATTTCTGCGTTAATCCTGATGACGTAAAAATATTTAAAGAGCATTAATTACATTTTAAGGTAAGTAATTAATGCTCTCTAAATGTTATACGGTATGTTAAGGTAGTACATATGTATTTTCGCTTAAGAGATTCACATAGATAACTCTGAAATACAAACGAAAAACTATTAAAGATATTTTATGAACTCGTCAAGGGTGAATACTAATTCGTGAGCTTCCACAGTCTAAAGGATCGACCCAACAGATAACCATGGTTACAAGATGACGTGGCAAGAAATGGTAATAATATTGATCTACCTGTATAAGTATTCAGAAGTTTTACACAATGTATACGAAATTTACAACCTGAGAGCCGTTTCATTCGTAAGCTACAGAGCGATCGCCTAAAGAGTTAAGCGATCGCTTTGTGAATGAATCTAGACATAGGATACGGCATTTAATCGATGTTATGGCAGTATTTCGTTTCAACTTCTTTGATATGTGTTTTGTTGGATAAATTTGGGATAAAAATACTAATTTCGTAACGTTGCTGTCAAATCTACAATCATCATTCTTTATCATTCGTTCGTATTTAATAAAGTACATGTTAAAGTTGTAAAATGAAACGATATACCGTCATCACCTCTCTAAAATGTCGTATCGTATGGCTGGAATCACGGCTAGCGAGTTTTGGCTTTGGAAATCTTGCCTATGGACGAATCCAAGGCTCGCAGACGAAGAAGAGGCTAGTAATATCCTCTTCTGCGTCTTCCACGTATATTTACATAATCAATTAAAAGCTTGAAGATAAAATGAGCTTGATGATAAGAATAGAATAGAATATACTTTATTGTACACACACATAACACCTACCATTTCAATTGTAGAAAGGAGACGTACAAATGGCGGCCTTATCACTAAAAGTGGTCTCTTCAACCTTGGGATGGAGTTAAGTCATAAATGAGCTAATAATAATGGGGTAAGAGATGGTGTACATATATACTGTGTAGGAAGAAAAACAATATAAGCATAGATAACATCATATTAAGTGAGAGAGAGGACCAGATTGTGAATGAAGCGGCTCTCAGATTGAGGTATAGGTCACACCATGACCGTTGTCCCATCTCCTTCGTCTTTGCGACATTTACGCGCTGAGACGAAAGTAGAATGGGACAATCTTTATAGGAGCGGATACCACTACCACCATTAGTCGGAAATATCCCCTTATTGAAGAGCAGACTCTCCTGGAAAATTATGTCAGGGTACCAGAAGACCGAGCGCTGTAAGGCACTGTTACTTTACTCTTTTTATACATACATGCTCTTTTTATGACCACCTTTTAAAGCTATGCTTTTGCATTAGACCAGTTTTTTTTATTGTACGCATATTAAAATCCGTATAATAATATCACCAGGTGCGAGGTCACGGATGACCAGATAAGCACCTGATACTGACCCCAACGTACACTTTACATGCATGATTGCATTTCGTTAGACCTTATTGATTGTAAAGCTGTTCAGTAGCATTTTGTCTCTTTGTTATTTTGGACCATATTTCACTGTCCGTTTACAATATGACAGTTTTTATTATAATATGTAAATTTTTGTTTTTAGATAATATAAATAAAATATTATACGTAAGTCAAAAATTGGCTATAATATGTATTAATTAGATATAAATACATCTTGAGTAGATCGGTGGCGTTATGAAATAAAAAGTTGGTTTTTGGCTGCATTTGCAGTCCTCAGCCCATCAATCCGCATTGGATCCTTGTGGAGGGACCCCATCTCGTTATCCACCCAACAAGGATGGCCTGGGCTTCTGCAGTGGGGACGCAAAAGGACTGATGATGATAAATATATTAAATAGAAACTGCTAAAAAAATCCACCAGCCCCTGAAATGAGACTCAAACCCACAATCTGAGCGACTCTAAACATCCCAAGACCCAACCGGGCCTACAAATTTTTCGTGAGCTTCCAGTAGGTAAAAGAATTTCCAAAATCGGACCAGTAAGTACATATTTCTGAAGATTACACCCTACAAAAAAACAAAGTTAAAAACTCAATTTTTATAAGCTTTTATTTAACTTGCCTTATTAGTATGTTAAAAAGTGCGCTTTCTGAATTGAAATTTGACCCACTTCGCAATGTACGAAAGACTTAAAATTTTGCATAGACATCTAAGTCAGATGACAAAGCAAAATTATAGGAACATAGTGGTCATAGGAACTTAGCAATGAAATAACGCAAATGCATAGCGTTTGGGCTCTTTACATCTGTCTTTATGAGAACAACGACATATTGGGACATAACTGTGACAAAAAAAGAGATTAAAAATAAAAAAGGTTTTATTTGTAAACTAAAACGTAAATAAATAAAGGTAATTGGTTTGTAAAGCTTGTAATCTAGTGCTAATAAAATCGAAGACGAGAAAATAAATACACAATTTTTACGCACAACAAGCTTTTCAATTCTGATTATAATTATTTTAAATGTTTAGAGTTTATTGATTAAAATTTTAGTGCGTACATATAAAAACTTATTTAAAGAAAAATCCTTCTTTATTATATTTTTATAATATTAGTAATTTTTAATGTTCAATCAATGAAGAGTATTATAACGTCATCACTATGTAAACACCCTCCGTAATTACCACGTTAAACGTAATTGTTATAACGCTAATTACAGTTTAGCGGATATGTCAATCGTGCTTAGTTTCGGATCAATTTCTTTTTATATTTGAGGGCGTGGGTAACACCGCATTTCGAAGTTTACATTACGAAATTATAAAAAAGGTAACAATATAAAATATCGAAGGCAAAGGACCGCGGATCATAAATTTTTATCATGCTTCGATCTTCATGTCCTGATCTAACACTAGTGTTAGATTAGCATCTAGATGCTTATCGTACATTCTGTGTTTATTAAGTTTTGTATATACTTTCGTTTTGATATATAGTTTATATGTAAGTATAATTAACATAACACACGTTTCTAAGAGGTATTGCCAACTGATTATATGCGTTCTGTACGAAATTTCATCCTGGGTGGCAGAGAATACCTCTTTGGAATTAAATCCACCATTTGTTTACTTTAATTAGACATTAAAAATGTTTTATTATAATATAGGCGAAAAGAGGTAAAGAGAGCTTGTGGGCCAAACTTGTCTATCAATTTCAACTCCTCTCATATCAAAAAATGACGTCAAACAATGGGACCCTACAATGAACAGTTTTTGTTTAACTCGTACGAATTAACTTAAGGGGCTATTTGTACTCGAATGAAAATTCGGAAAATTTCGAATTGTCTTATAATTTTATTCGAATCACATCTACGAAGATTATCTGTGAATTTTTCTTTGGAGTCGTATTAGCGTTTCGAAAATAGACGTAATTTCTTTTTCGGAGAAATAGAATAGGTCGTCAGGTGTCATGTTAATTCGTACGGGAAGTATTCATCATCAACATTAATACCGTTGTCATCAATCTATTAATATTGATACACAATTATAAACAAATATTTTGTATAGATTGAATCACAAAGACGTAGTGAGCTTCACTAACACAGGCTCATTGCAAATAACGCGTATTGTCTACTGATATGCAGTCGGAGTCTTATGGATTAACGAGCCATAGATGGGCTTGAAATAAACTTTTTTGGTTACTCATCCCTAAATTGACCTTTGAAAAAATTGGTTAAAGTTAGCTTAGCTATTACAGTTGCATTCTGAACGCGAACTAACCAGTTCTGAAACTTTTGGAAGTAGGTATTTGCTGTAACTACAAGATCGCTTTGACCGAATAGTTGTTAACTTTTTAATGTACTCCAACAAAAAAGAGGACATACACAAAATTTTATTTTGATTACTCACACAATTAAGTACTTATATAGATATAGGACATATCTACCTACTAAAACATCCCCCAATATTTAAATTAGGAATCACGGACTCGCGTATACAAACAGAAGACGCTGATTGGCGCAAACGATACCCCCAAACCACCAAGTTTTCCGTGAAAACCGTGAAAACTCAAATACGTTCGTCTCTTTTTAGCACACAGCTCGTTCCATTGACTGACTCTTTTACACGCAAGGGTGCATAACCGCATCGGTACACTGTCAGTGCCGCCTAAGTCAATGTTGTTGACTGACGTTTGTTGAAAGAGGTTTTTATTTAAACACAGAACGCGCCCCTTTCCTCTTTCTTTGTTTTTAAACAAAAGATCAACGAATCGATGTGTTAAATTGCCATTGTGACAGATTAAAAAATTTTCGCGGTTATTGAACTATTTAATTTTTTAATAGCGGTAATGAATTAGCCATTACTAATTAATACGGTTAGTGGCATATTTAAATACGCGAAACTGAACAGTGTGACGGTTCGCCGGCGGTACTGATTTCACAGTGAAATGTGATTTAAAAAGTGAAAACCAAGCGTAACTTTGACGCCTAATTAATTTGTTATGTGCCGTAAATTAAATAAAAAAAAGAACTTTTTAAATTTCGAATCCGATGATGTACCCCGCAGGGCTCGGTGTGGATGAGTCTGTCGTACCGAATTTGAAATGTCATTCGAAATTCAAAGCGCAGTTTTAGTTTAAAAACATGGAAAACTGATTTTAAAATGGAATATACTTGGCACATGGAGGATTCTGGACAAGATAATAATATAAGAACCACCAGCGGCAGACTGCAAGGGAGAAGTCAAGGTAAATTAATCTATATCTAGGCTGTATATCTGACTCCTTTGCTAATCAGTATTCAATCATACTTTTATTTATTTCCCTTCGCTATACTCTTAAGTTATAATCTGACGCTGCTGTCTTGAGTTAAAATTAAATATCTTTAAAGTTGATTGATTTATACTAGTTAGTATTATATTAATATAGAATTGTAGTTGTCTTGTGACTCAGTGTCTATACAACTGAACAAATAAAATGTAGACTCATACAAATTGGCTGCGAGAATGTTAAAAATATTGTTTTTCATTTCGTTAAATGAGTAATGATTTGTACTATAGTATTTGAGGTAGGTACACATATATCTTATAATAAAATTACCTAGCCAAGTCAACCGATTATTATGTAACAATCAAAATGTATAACACGCATGTAAATTGATTAAGTTCTATAGTCTTATAACTATTACATTATAACACGCATGTAAATTGATTAAGTTCTATAGTCTTATAACTATTACTATTACATTATTATTTATATATAGTCTTATAACATACAAATTTATTGAGTAATGATACCGTTTATGTAAATATCGGTGCTTTTGATAAAGAAAGTATAACCGCATCTTAATAGAATCTTAACGATTTGCATTTATCAATAATATTTATTTATTAAACTTTATTGACCAATACAAAGATGATACAAAAGACGGATTTAATGTTAATAGCATTCTCTCCCAGTCAACCTTTGGGAAAATAGACAAACGCGATGGCGGTACAGAATAATAAAAATTTTAATAAAACTACAACAACAAATATGTACTTAACTAATCATAAACATACTACAAAATTATAATACCAAAAATATAAATAAACTTACACATAATTACAGCGAATATATACTCAATATATATTATAAACACACACATATAAATATGTTTCTTCTTCGATGTATTACGTACATCAACACATAGATGATGATGACAATCTACACAAGCCTTGAAAAAGAAAGGAGTGAACTTTTTTTTTAAATTAATTTATTTGGCGATCTCCTGATGGAATCGGGGAGGTTGTTCCACAGTCGAATTGATTGTAGAATAAATGAGTTGGACATAAAGCCAGTGAGAAAGAGAGGAGGAGAGAAAGTGAGAGTGAGTTTGAAGAACGCAGGTGACGACCATGAGTGTCAGAGAGATATTGAAATTTACACTTTAAGTTCTCGGGTATCTATCTGAAGTCCAATGTTACTATAATATTGAACTTTATATACTTTATGTAGATAGTACAATAATAGAGTAGCTCGGTGGCGTAGTGGATAAGCGCCGCGGCCCGCGATCGTAGTCGTTAAGCAACTTTCGCAAGGGTCGGTCACGGGATGGGTGACATAAAATTATTATCTCGAGCTACTCTGTGTTTCGGAAGGCACGTTAAGCCGTTCGTCCCGGCTGCATTTGCAGTCGTTAATATCCTCCAATCCGCATTGGGTCAGCGTGGAGGGTCATGGCCCATCCTCCTTAACTATCCAAAAGAAAGGCCTGAGCCCCTGCAGTGGGGACGTAAAAGGGTGGATGATGATGATGATGAGTACAATGGCAAAATGTAGGTATAGTTGAAATTTTAGCAGAATTGTTATGCTGGACTGGAACCAGTGGAGATCATTCGTACCAAATGCAACCCTGATGCTGACCACGATCCTCATGAAAGACCATCTAGGAGACAGAACATAACTAATGTTACTACCAAATCACAGTCAATAGTGATCTTAAAATTTTTTTTGGGTATGATAAGGGCATTATTTTTACTCAAAATACCTCCAAAAATGCAAAATAAAACAATGTTCTTATGTTAAAAAATACCAATTATTTTTTAATAGTACAAATTAACATGACATCTTTTTTTATGCATCGGGGAACTTCACGGATTATGAATATTCAGTTTTAACTTAAAACAGTGAAACCATAGAAACTGTCAACCAGCAAACCAGAGGAAAAAAAAGAAGGAAGGAAACGTAGAAAAAGTATCATTCACATTTCTGTCGTAAAAAAAAGTTGCACGCGACAATAATGTTATAGAGAACTGCTGCATAACGAAATATGTTGCGTTTGTAAAAATGCTTCTTATGAAAGTAGTGACGCTCTATTTGATAACAGCGAAATATGATTCCAGTATTTAGGATTGTTTTATGTTCCGTTACACGGTATGTAATTATTATTTAAATACTTTATAATTCTAATTAAGTTTTAAGTTTTTCTCGTATTCTCTAATTTTGGCAGGCTACTTATACATTTTTAAAATGTGTTCAAAGATTATACAAATACGTAAGTATAGTCAACAGCACGTTAGACTATACAAAACTGACATCTTTCCGACTAGTATTGAAGCTAGAGATCAAAACCCATTGCATAACTTTAAATATCTAAATGCAATGAACAAAACGAACTGTCATGCGGTATTCCCTAACTAAATGGAGTAATTGAAATTTTGGTGAGTAATTGATGGTAATCATCATCATCATCAGCCCTTTTACGTCCCCACTGCAGGGGCTCAGGCCTTCCTTATGGATGGTTAAGGAGGATGGGCCATGACACTCCACGCTGGCCCAATGCGGATTGGAGGGTATTAACGACTGCAAATGCATGTCTTCTGAAGCACGAAGTAGCTCGAGTTAATAATTTTTTGGTCACCCATCCCGTGACTGACCCTTGCGAAAGTTGCTTAACGACTAAGATCGCGGGCCGCGGCGCTTATCCTCTACGCCACCGAGCTACTTAGTTGATGGTCATATTACGTAATTATTAGAAGAATTGGTTTTCTGCGCATCTCTCATAGTCCATCAGTTGGTAATGACCGCATCATCTTCAACGCTTCGTACCACAATCCGTGGCCGCATCCGTCTAAAGCAAATTGGCAATGGCACGATGACTTAATACTCGAATAAAACAAGTCTGCTTAGGCAAATCTTAAGATTAGGTGTCTCATAGAGCTATTCCTTGTTCTAGGTTAATGAACATGGGCGTTAGTTTTTGAACAAACAGCCATATAAAAAATCTGTTTCAAATAATTAAGTACATTAAGTACATAGATATAATTATTTAATGAATTTTGAACAGCAATAGAAATAAGTGTAGAATTTTCCGAAACTCCTTTCAGACTAAAAAGATTTTGAAATAATTTTCATACATCTAATATGAAGGAGCTCGATGGCCGGTCAAAGGATGAGTGACAAAAAAAAATCTAACTCGACCTACTCCATGCTTCGGAAGGAACGTTAAGCCGTTAGTCCCGGCTGCATTTGCAGTTGTTAACACCCACTGATCCGCACTAGACCCGCGTGGTGGGTCATTCGTGGCCCTTTCTCCCTATTCGATTTGATTGGATTCCATTTCATGGAAACAATAAAATGTCCATGATAATGATGAAATATGAAAATACCGTAGGTTGTAATCATCGAAAAAAGTCTTAAAACTATCCACTTCCCACATTGCGTCGCGTGATAATAACAAAATTACAATTTGTTACAAATCCATCAACGATTTAATCACAACACATGTCATGCAATAGTTTTAATAAAATACTTACGTTTTGTAATCTAATACTATAGATAGCGCGGGCGCCAATGTGTTTAAAATTAAGGTGCAATGACGTTTTATTTTTTTTAAACGTCACTTTTGCGTCAGCGAAATTCACGGTATAGTGCCATTAATTGCAGAATGTTATTTTTCATAATTCTCAAAATTATTCATATGTTAACTACTTATGATATCATATAAAGTAAGTTGTTGTTGTTTGTAATATCTGTAGTTGCAGTTGCAGTCAAAAGTTAAATAAAAGCTTTTTTAAGATTGTCCGATGATCAACGTAACCAAGTGGCGCTCGTGCCAGTTTCAAGGTATTGCCATCTCTAGGGTCTTAGAACGATATAGAATATGAGCTTTTCTATATTGTCTCAGGTCTATCGTGGTATATCATGATAATTGTTTCAGAGCTCTATAATACAGGTGCGGCAACTATATTTACTGAATACTTGAGGTATATAGTGTAAGTGGTTTAAAAACGATTAGTACTAAGTAAAAGTATTTTTCCAATCATGACATGAGCAAACTGCCTATTGCATAGATTAAGATATTTTTAATAGTCCTATCAAAGAGTATCTAAATAAGAAGACATCTCAAGGCTGAAGATGGACTCGTTTTCGTAACCTTTTTTAATGTACGAGTAAGGTCATCAAATGTCAAAGTCACATTAAATAATCACAATAATTTATATGAAAACAACCAAAATAAACCTTTGATTAATTTGGGGTGTCACGAGCGTCGGGGCGGGTGCATTTCACGGATCACTGGACTCGGTGTTATGTTCACACAATTTCGTTAACAAATTAGCGATATACGTGGGGGTAGGTCCGACGCATTGAAGCGTGTGATTTATCATTAATGAAGTATAGTGGCAGGTGGTTTATTGATAAGGTTCAGTTGAACCAATATGGAGTTATGAAATAACTAATAGACACTGTCACGTATAAAGAACTTGCAACTAAACTGGAAATATTTAACTTTGAGTTGATTTCAATATTATTCTATATGTATGCTGAATATAATAAGTTTTATTCTGTTATCTTTGATATTTCTATATTTGAAAACGCAGTTTAGCAGAAATTTACTAAATTTAGTAAAGCTTGTGTAATAAAATTTCTACTATTAATTTGAAAGGTCTTTATGCCAGGAGCTCAATTCTGCTAACGTTATAACGTGTCAATAGCGTTTTGAAACTATTATCATCAGTATTTCGCAAAATTATTAAAAAATCATTCATTGATAGCCAATAAATTTTTTTTACAAAATTCTTTCTTTTTTTATGGTAATTAATACTTTTGTGTCTTTATCGTGCTTTATGTGTTTCTAATAATGTACTATCTTGTTTGTGTCTTTGTGAGACCATAAATGTTTCTTCTTCTTCTTCTAAATAGTATGTATCGACCGACGGTCAAAGAAATTCTGCTATAAGTTTATTGCACACGACCTGTTTTCCGGC